TATCATTATTAGTATTATTATTGTTATTATTATTATTATTATTATTATAGTATAATGGGCCCCAAACTCTATTCTAATTATGAAGGCCAAGGCCCCTATATTAGGGCTCGGAGTCGGCCATGGTCGTAGCAACAGCCAGGTAGGGGAGTCGTACACTGGTTGAGGGTTTAGGGTTTAGGGTACGCTGGTGGTGCTCGCAATCGTAGTAGCAACAGCGGTCATCCCAGCAACAACTCGTATAGAACTCGACCGCTACAGATTAACTAGCGAAACTTAGGGTTCAGGGCTTAGGGGTTTAGGGTTTAGGGTCCCGACTACAGATCCCTGCTCACCGTCCCCCGATCCTCCAAGCCAAGCAGTCCAACATTCGTCCTTACCGCTGAAACACGCTATCGGTTCCTCTCGCCTTAAAGCCCCTTCATGATTCGTCAAGGGATCTGGGTGTAGCGTCTATGGTCAAAGGCATGGGACGAAGAGTGCTGGAATGCACACCCTAAACCCTAAACTCTGAGCCCCGAACCCTGAACCAAGATATTTGCGCGGCATGCGCGGCCACAACTACGACGACGACCAGCCACTCGGCAGTAGACTTGGAACCTCTAGGATTCCCGAAATTCTGAACTCCTGAGCCTATAACCCTTTGTATCATGGTTTTTTTGCAGCATGTTTGGGCCAGAAGACCCACCATGTAGTCTCAGGCTTTCTGGATGTTTGTCTTGCTGATTGCTGGATGCTTCGGCTTGTGGGATTTCTTTGGTTTACATTTTGGAGTTGAGAGTTTTGGGCTTGCGGCTTCAGGGTTTTAGGGTTCAGGGTTTAGGGCTATTAAGACCCTCAATGGCAGCCCCTTCTCGTTGAATACCATTTGATTCGTGAGGTGCCCACACCAACCAGACCACAAAGCAGGACGAACCACAATTTACGCTCCACTGTGCTGACGTTCGCTTCTCGAACTTGCTAGCAAAGGTTCAGCCCCAATCCTGCACCGACCCCTGTTACCCTCGACCTACGTAATCCTGAGCAATCGAAGGCTGTATAGCCAGGTTGTAGGAAATGAGGATTTGTCCTTTCTGGGCTGTCAGGCTTGCAGGTGTTTGATTAATGCTGGAGAAGGTGGTGCTGGTTTTGGATTAGGCTGGGAGTGTCAATCCGATCCTTCTGATCGCATGAGGCTCCGCAGATTTGAATGGCACGGCCGCAAATAACAGCACGCTAAGCCTCTTGGCGATTAGAACCGGAAGGAGTACCAACGCTATTCCGAGTTTTCCTCATTTATAAGTTTCCGACCATGTAGCACATAATGTACCTTGTTCTAGTTATTACGAATGAAGGCCCTTAGATAGAACTCCCCTTTCACATTACCAGCACACTGCTCTGAGACGTCCGTCTGATGGGTGGTGCATATAGCCCAGAAGACCATAAAGGGTGTAGATCGTTGTATTGAAGGGTGTGATAAGTGTTCTATCTACAGGGTCACATGACGGTTCCAAAAGTCATGCGAGCAAATCTTGACCGCCTCGCAGTATATGCCCTCGCAGTCCTGTCATGTCCTGTACTCCAACCTCAAAAAGCCTGGACGGCCTCGAGTCAGTGAAGTTAGTGTAACCTTTTGGTTGCGAGGTTGCGACGTTTCAGACTTTGAGGGTTTGGGGTTCAAGGTTTGGTGTGGCATTCGCCTCGTCTCGGCATTTGCCTAATCTTTTCGGGTTTCCAGGGTCTCAGCACGGCAAGACGAAATCAGCCGACCGTTCCGTAGCTCAGGCCCTCAACATCCCTGAGCGGCAGTCGCACATAGCCTCCACGGAATACTGGGTATAAGGGTTTGTGGTGTTTGCTACAGATCTATCATGGGAGTTTGGGCTTTAAGGTAGTCTCTGAGTCACGAGCCCGAGCCCAGCTCAGGCAGCACCATGTCCAGCACGACGACAACTACCGATGCCTTTATGGTCTCCAGCCATGCATCTGCCTCAAGCGCCGGGAGCCTCTTCCTGCACAGGTCTCAAACAATTGTGCAGGGGATGCGGGCGGCGAAGGGTTTAGAGGATGCAGTTGCGAACAAGGTTTTATATTCCTAGTCTACGCTTATAATGAGTCAGTTCACGACTTAAGTCAGAGGTGCCCTTAAGCCTTAATGAATGAGTTTCAGGTTGGGTCCAATCGGATCCAACACAGTCTGCCCTGCGACCCACACCTGCAATCCCAAATCATAGAGGCCCCAAGTCCCAAATCCCACGAGCCTTTGAGCGTATGTGTGTATATACATATATATATATATATATATTTGTTTTTCGCATGAGCCCAAACATGCTACATCCCAAGCCCCTACTGATCCTAACACCAAGAGTTATGTACACCCTATGCACCCTAAAAGGCATAACTCCGAAGCTTAAGCCTCACGCGCCTTGAAACCTACAAACCACCAAATCCTAAGTCCTAAATCCATTGAAATCCTCGACCCTACACAGTCTAAATACTAAAACTTCAAACCTGATCCCACACTGAAGCCTCGAACCCCAATCTAAAGGCAACGATATTTCCGATAGTCCCACCCTGCATGCCGTAACGAGAGACACCCTAAACCTCAATAACCTAGACACCATAACCTAAACCCATAGAGCCTAAAACCCTAAACCCTAGACCCATGGAGCCTGAAACCCTAAATCCTAAACCCAAAACCCTAAACCCTAAACCCTGGGCCCATGAAGCCTAAAACCCAGGATCAGCCACTGCATTCTTGCCTTGCTCCTGGGCACGATGCTCTTTCGGAGCCTTGGCCCAAACCGCTAAGCCGGGTGTTGCTGAGGAGTCATTAGCCACTGCTATTGCAAATACACTTTATTGTTTGGCATCCCTGGGCTTAGCGAAAATACTACGCCCTCCATTTTCAGGGCTTGAGGGTTTGAGGCATCGGAGATTCGGGGTTTAGATTTAGGCAAGTAGAGTTTGAGTTGTACGGCATGTGAATGCTTGACCGCTTGAGCGAAGACTGAAAGCGCAGATTGCTGTAGCTGGCAACGAGGCGTCGATGGCTGAGATGATGCGGCACATGTTTGCGTGGTGCAGATGGGGCCGTACCTCTACATGTGATGAAAGAAAACAATCATAGCTCACAGCATAAGACACATGCCCATGGAGTGGTCTTTAGGCTACAAAAACATCCATAGATCATCGCAAAACTGTTCTGATATGTTCTGATGGCAGCGATTCTTCGGATAGCAGATCGCTGCATCGCCTTGGCCTCTTTGTGTCGGGCTGCCCAAGGCAGGCCTGTACTGAAATGAGTGCCCATATGGTCTCAATATCCCATGGTTCTCGGCTGTGGAGCTGGGGGTTTGGGTCCAACCCTGCCCCTGGCGGCTCTCCTTTGACCATATTCTGATCTTTGCAGATAGCTTAAATTCCTCCAGAATGACAGTTCAATCGGGACACATGTAAGTTGCCGGGAGTGGGTAGCTGAACCTCAAACAGTTTTGACTGCGAAAGTCCGAAGGGACGTCGTGGCTAAACCACGAAATCTCTGACTTGGGGAACCCCCCTGGTCGCAGGTTGTCGTGCCTGCTTTACCGACCGTCATGTTCTCTGAAGTTTCTGAACATATAGCGGTTCGCGCATAAAGCTCCAGAGATACCCCATGGTTCGCAATGGCCTACAAGAGGTCCCTAGAACACAGCCAATACAGGAGGGGTTTTATCGGCCCTCAGTTCGACTTCACTGAGAGCATGCCTCTGGTGACATGATGGGCAGGCTGTGTCAGTGGCCGTGTGGGCTCACGCCGGGTTTCCATACCTACTGGTGACACGATGCAGAAAGTTCGGAGTTTTTACCATCAGCAGCAGTGTACTTTTCCAACAGCAGTAGTGTACTTCCAAGACTTAATTCGAATCCAGCTTGCTTAGAACGCCCTGCAGAGACCTGGCAACACTGCAGTTCTTCCGTTTCAGGTGTAGGGATTTGGATGCTAGGGCTACCAGGTGTTTTTTTTTCGATGCTACACGCCGGTGCCACAGCCAAAGTGCTCCTCTTCTGCGGATAGCACGAGTGCACAGCCCATTCGTTTCGGGCATGCGTCCAAAGAAGGGCATTCATGAACCCTCAACCCTTAACAAGCCCAAATGAGCCCCTCTAAAACCAAACCCAAGGCCCTTATCATGTGCCAGATGGTTGCGTCAGCTACATCCTTCGAAGCTTCACCCGTGGGCCCTGAACCATGAAAAAAACACTTCCAGCACCTGAAAGTTTCAGCTTATATCGGTGCCAGTCTAAGGTGCACTTGGGCCTTGATCGGAGTTCCAAAATCAGGGTTCTCTTCGATAATGTAGGCCCCTAAACGATACCTGGACCCCCAAACTACGTATAGTAATAGTCTTTTTTTATAGGTGTTGGGTCATTATTTTTATCTACTTTTGGGAGTTGAGATAGGATTCTTAATTCAATTTCCTCCAAAAGTGGAATTATTGACTCTCACCCTGTTGTGGGCTCTTCCTGAGACCTGCCCAAAGCGATACCTTGTCGCTGGTGTACGCTTCCGAGCTCGGGGGCTTTAGGATTCATGAGTCTTAGGGTTAGGGGTTGAGGGTTTTGGCTTAGGGTCGATGGTTTAGGGGCTTCGGATCAAGTGTTGGTTTAGGGTTTAGGGTAAGCTTCATGGCGAACAGCGACAGACCGGACCCTGCTTAGGCCTTCCTGCCATTTTCCCGGGGGTCCGGTGGATCTTAGCGACTCGCGCAGAGAAGCTGAGGAAGAAACATGAGACTCAGGGTTTCTCTCTCTTTAAGTCTTTTTCTTTTAGGAACCATTTCTAACTTGTGTTAGGAAGTCTC